CAGCAGGCTCCTGCTCATGACTAAGAGATGTCAGCGTGGCCTTTTGTCTATACATACATATAAGCACGAGACTCCATGTGGGTCTGTGCCATTTTCAGGCAATTTGTAAAGAGTGCGGTTTTAGGAAAAATGTTTTCTGAATACTTCTGTTTGGTTTATCTCCAAGACAAAAAAAACACCTTGGAACACCCTTCGAAGGAGTAAAACGTGATTGGGCACAAAATTAACCCTGAACTGTCGATGCAAAAGCACATTTGACACCCATCGATTGATAGAACAGGAGACCCAAAGCCTCAGCATCAGCCTCGGGGACGGAATGTGCCCCAGCACATTTGTAATTAAGAAAGTTTTTAGCTGAAAGGCACTTAAATGAAATTTTAATTTATTTCTAAAATGCTGCCATACCCAGGGACAAAAAACAATAGTCAAGGGGGACAAAAACAATGGGAAGGAAGAGTCAAAACTTTTCCCAAAGCCAAGTGTTGTCGCAGCATTGACAGAGACAAACAGACAGAAACTCTCGGCTGACTGACAGACAGATAGACAGAGAGAAAGACAGTTGTCGCTAGAGACACAGAGAGAGAGAGAGAGAGAGAAAGCAGGAGGAGCTGGAAACCCTATTAAATATTTAACCTTATCGCAGCCATTGCTTTGGCCATTGCAGGAGGTCTCAATGTGGCTAGGAGACCATTGCCGGAGACCGCACAACAATGGAAACATTTTAAAAAGTGCCTCAAGGACACACCGCTGGCGCTCCTTTGGCGCTGCCACATTATGGCGCCTCATGAAACGCTTAAGCTATCAACACGATATTCGGTAATTAACCCGGCTAAATACGATACGACAGGCAAATTATGCCAAGACCAAGACCAAAGCCAGTCCAGAACCAGACGAAAGCCAGTTCCGAAGAAGCCAGAACGTGTACTCCCTTAATGTCGCCCTGTGCTAGGGGCGGGGCAAAGCCATCCCCCTGTGTTGTGTGTGTTTGTGTTCGTGTGCTTCCTGTTTGTATTTCGTATCTGTCTCCCGCATTATCCTGATTAAAATGCTGCAATTTTTAGGCAAGTCAGGACTCGCACCATCAGCGGCAACATTTAACGGCCGTGCAGCTTTGTTATCAGAGGCAGGATGCATGAAGCACCTCACCACCCAACCACCCACCCACACACACAGACACCACACAGTCCTCCCCCAACAATAAGAGAGAAGGAAGGCCGAAGAGAGACCGAACCGCGTTGAAAGAGACAAAAGAGAAAGCAACCACTGCTCGTGGTCGCCGTTTGTGTGTGTTGGTGTGTGTGTGTGTGTGAATTGTGGTGTTGGTGAATTACCACAAAAATGAGAGACGGTAAACAACTTTTGCCAGACTCTTGGCCGAGACGAAGAGCGGCTGCCAAAAATCGCCCATTATCCATTTTTATTTTATCATCAATTTTATTACACACCGACCGACTGGAGAGTGGAGAGTGGAGAAAGGAGAAAGGAGAAAGAAGCACCAAGTTGATATACGAAACCATCAACATCAATGAAAAATGCCAACAAAAAGAGTAACCAGAGAGGAAGCAGCGCCACTCACCCACTCATCCACACATACACACACACACGTTAGCACACTCGCACACTCGCACACTCGCAAAGACTTTCAGAGAGAGGATAAAACACACGCCCTTTTGGCAAAAAAAACCTGTGATATGCCATAGTCCTAGTCCTAGTCCTAGTCCTAGTCCTAGCATTTAGCCTTCCCCCTAGTTGGGTGCTGTGTTTGGTTTTTGGTTAATTGTTGTCTGACTTATACGCACCTACAGTGGGGACTGCATTGGAGTGCAGTCTGTGGCTCCTTGGGCCCCGATCCTTTTGTGGGTGCGATGTTTGCTGCTGAACACTTTTCGTTTTGTTTGCACTTTGGCTCTGGCCTGATTCGCTTTGTTTCTTAAAATATCATTTCGCACTCGAGTCACTTTCACGGAAAATCCTTTTTGTGTTCGGAGAGAAAGAGAGGGATAGATGAAAGGATTAGCACTGCTCAACAGAGTCTGTTTTCGGGTAATCGTCTATGGGCTTGAACACGGGTCGTCCTCACGCACTGGTTGCTGTTTAGCAACTGAAACTAGATCTGACAAGTGCCAAATCACCTCATCCTCAACGTCAGCGTCAACGTCCAAGCCAGCACAGCACATACATCATCTTTCGAGCTCATAATCTTCCGAGCCAATCACCTAAGCAAATCTTATCCAATTGACCGAACAATAAACCCAATTTGCATTGAGAGAGTGCATCTGTGTGTTCGTGTTGATTGAATCAACAGCCGACAAGTAAACAGATTAAGATTCGGACACTTTAACTAGGCTCGGCACAATGGACACCCATTCACCCACTCACCCATTCGGACTAACTATCCCCATCCATGTGTGGAGCTCTGCTCTACTCGAATTTCGCACTTATTCAATTGAGACATTTGGTGAAAATTCTACCCCAGAGCTGGGCACAGCCGGGGGTGCCGTCGTCTTCTAATAATTAGCCCAGAGTTCTTACAGAGCCCAACTAATGACAAAGACCTTCAGACCTAAGCCAAAGTAGGTCGGGCCACTACCACTACCGACACGCCCACCAACTCTGCTCATATAATATATATTTAATATCATAAACCCAATGCTTTTTAAAGCATCTTTATGTGCCGATTTCGATTCTTCTCAATGCTACTACTCTTTCTTTTAATTTCTTTGTCTGTTGTTGTGGTTGCTCTCCCCCTCGTTTCCTGTTCCCCCCGTTCCCATTGCCCCGTGGCCATGCTCTGCCCTGCTCTGCCCTGCTCTGGTTGTTGTGGATAAATTCGGGATTTTTTGGGAGCGGCCATTTGATTTTCTCTTAACATTTTCTGCCTGTCAGTCTTTCTCGTGTGTTGTGTCGGGGGCTGGCTAAAGGTTTTGTCTGTGGAATATTTCGAAACAAATACTGTGTCTGCAATGGCGTAAAAAGTAAAATTTCTATTCGGCTTGGAGGTTGACGGTTTTTCGTTTTTCTTCTTGCGAAAGACAAAATAAAAAAAAAACACTCCCACGTCTGGTGTGGCGCTGTCTGCGCTGTGCGACCGGGGGATTGATTTTTCTGCTGAGGGCTGTATGGCGGCGGCAGCGGCAGGGCATGCCATACCATACTCGTTCTTCTGGGGGTTGGGTTGCGGTGCGGCTGTTGCCACTGATGACGCTGGCTTAACGAATATGGACCGACAGCACCATCAGTAACAAAAGAAGCACACGCAGACGGTTTGGTTTTCCAAATGCACACACGATTCCAATTTTCCGATTTTCCGCCGTAGTCTTTTCGTCATAGTCTGGTCTACCGCACTGGGAATATGACACACACTGACCACACACACACACAACATACACAGACACTAGTGGGGATTACATGGTAGGAGAAGCAGCGACGGCGACAGCGACAGCGGCAGGCATGACCATTCCCATTTCCACTTCCACGCTGCTCTGCTTTGCCTATCCTCTTGCCTGTGTTGGTGCTGCTGACACTGCCACTGCCACTGCCACTGTTGTGGATGCCGCCGCCTCTGTGTGTTTCGCCTGGACTATTTACCGAGCCTTGTTCCGTTAGCCGCCGTCGTGCCGTCACTCTCGAGTTGCAAATTCACTCTGAAACAGAGTTCCGAATGCGAATCCGCTTCTGCTGCGAATGCTTCGGGGACCCAAGGACTCGGCGGCGCAGAATGTGTGTCGCACGGCGCACCAGCTCGCGCCGCCCCAAATCTCTTTTGATGGCCGTAAAGAGCGAAAGAGCGGAAGCGCGTGGTGGATTAAACACTTGAAGCTGCGAATCATACCGAAACAGGAACCGGAACCGGAACGGGAACCGTTAACCGAAATAAACCGATTTAAACTCTCTATTACCAAAACCGATATTTGAATTATTATTAATAACCGGTAGCCGTTGCTGGCTGCTATGAAACTATACGGTAACTACCCAGAAATTATGACTAGCTGCTAGATATAAAGGGATGCTGTGACTTAATCTTGGCTGCTATAAAACAAAAATATGGATGCTGTGAAACTTATCAGTCTGGCTGCTGTGAAACTATAGTAGCTGACTGCTGCAAAAATATATGTATATAGCTAGTTATATTTGATGGAAGATGGAAGATATACAAAGGTCTATACACGCATCATGTCTTCAAACACCAGCAACATTTCGACTGTTTTTTTTTGTTGAACTATTTAGTCTAAAACTTGTTTTAGCCAAAATACAATAAAAGCAAGGACAAAAAACTAGCCAATCTTGTAGAAAATGTATTCATCAACGACCTAAAATAATGTGGGCAGAACTAAGGGGTTTAGTTAGCCATAATTATTCAACGGTATCAATAAAATGGGGAAAATGAACGACTATCCTCTTTCGTTTTTTTTATTTTGAACTATTTCGCTAAAACCTTTTTTTAGACAAGATCCAATAAAACTTAGTATTAAGAATACGCCAGTTAAGTAAAAATTGTTTCATGAATCGTATAAAATTATGTGGGCATGGCAAATTGTTTTATCTAGCTAATAATATTCGACGGAATATCAAAATTGAACAATAGGAACGACTATAGTCTTTCCCTATTTGTTTTTTGTTTGACTTATTTCGCTAAAACCTCTTTTCACGCAAAATGAAATAAAAGCGAGTATTAAGAATACTTCAGTTAATTAGAAAATTGATTCATCAATCGTATAAAATTATGACGGCATGGCTAAATATTCTATATAGCTAGTAATATTCGACGGAATATCAAAAACGAGGAATATGTAAAATAGAACTTGAATTCGTCAGTATATTTACGGTATATTTTAAAAGTGAGGCGGTATGTTTCGGTATATTTCTGAGGGTCGTCTGAGGGTATCGATAGGTCCGCGGTCACACTGTTTGACACATCTGCTCTGAAATTTGTGTTGTTGTGGTTTGTTGTTTTTTCGTTTCGAAAATTTATATAACTTTTAAATAGTGTCTGGGCCTGAACACATCAACAAACCGAATTTTAGACATCGAAACATTAAAATTTTAGTTATCCGGAAAACTCTGCCCGCCACCCATAGAGCAAAATTTCTGGTCTTTTGGATCAAGGCCTGCCAGCGAGAACGAGAACATCAACAACCTGTAAGACCCTGAGGAACATTTTATAGTTTCCAGGCGAGAGACAATCTAATCGGTATTTTACCATCCAGTTGAACCAACCATCTAATCAACTTATTCGGCTGTATTTGGATTATCCCGTACCCGAGTAAAAGCATCATGTCCATCAGACGCGGAATGGCCACAACGGCCAGCAAGGAATGGAGGGACTACTTTATGAGGTGCGTTTGAAGGTCCCCTTGGGTTCTAGAATTCGTAATTGATTGCTGCTATCTTTGCTCATCAATAGCACCCACTTCTGGGGACCCGTGGCCAATTGGGGCATTCCGCTGGCCGCACTCGCCGATACACAAAAGAGCCCCAAGTTCATATCGGGCAAAATGACACTCGGTAAGATGTGGATTTGATCAGCAAACCAGTTTTGACGCTACACGCGTGTTCAGCATCGAAAGTTTCCGTCGCAGATTTCCTAATCAGAACGAGTACTATTTTATATGATAGGGCTATGTGCAAATCACTACTGGTCTGGCTCTCTGATAAGCGAAAAACGCGTCGAGTCTTTCGAAGGGGCTGCCTGATAAGGCTGGCGTTAATTGAATCCCACATACTAGATTACATTACTGATCACAAAACGTTTCCCTTCCAGCTCTGACGCTCTACTCGTGTATCTTCATGCGCTTCGCCTACAAGGTGCAGCCCCGGAATTGGCTTCTGTTCGCCTGCCATGCCACCAATGCCACGGCCCAGTCTGTGCAGGGCCTGCGCTTCCTCCACTATAACTATGGCGAAAAGGATCAGTCGGAGTAAGCGATGCTCTCCCTCCACCAGCCTGACCCTCCACAAGCCCCGAATCACAAACGCGCGATGCCTCTTCAAATATTTACCCAACAGCAGCTACAACAATTTACTGGCGACACGCAACGCACATGCAAATTGTACTGCCCATCAGGCACCAGTGGTGCAGTAATTGCCGCGTTCAACACCACACAGCTGGCTGAATCTCATCACTGGACAAACTGAAGTTGTCATGCCACTGCGGTTGACCTTTGACTGTATTCGTTTAATGGCGCTTTGGAGAGCTCATCGCGCGACGCAGCCGCACCCCGCACAATACCGATTCCAATTCCAGATTAGTCTAATGCAAATGAGCACATTTTTTGTTTGTAAATTGTTGGCTACACCAATACCATACGTTCGGCGGTTGTTCAAATTTTCAATACGGTGCAAAGTAGTCAAATTTAGTGGAATTAAGGAATATAATTTTTATACGATTGGCCTTCATGTAGTATGGTTTAAAATTGAATAAAATCAATTGAAAATACAATCAAAAACATATATATATATATTTTTTTTTTTTGATTTTGTCATGCTCTTTCTAACATGCACTTTATTCAAACGATTACGTATATATATTGTATATAATATAAGTGAATTGTTCTTAACAATATGACATATATATTTTTTTGTTGTGTTTTTTAACATTTTTTGTTCATCAATGAGGTTAAAACAATACATTTTGTAATCTCTACCCATAAAGAGGTATTTTTTTTTTGTGTGATTTTGTGTTTTTGAGATTACACTTAGGATCAAAACATTATACGTGGATACAAAAAACATGGTGGTAGAATTTTAAAGTTCTTGCAAACATAATAAAAAGTACGTTTTAAAAATAATCACACCTCGCGCTCTGTGGCGCCTCTATTCATAATATGTTGGTAATTATGGTTTAGGTTTTACATCAGTTCAATGTCATGACACATGATGTTCTCCCCAGCTTCGGGCGGGGATGTGTAATGGATATTGGACTTTCTCTTCTCAACTACAACAACAACTTAACTAGACAATGGATGACAGGGGATCTCTCTCGACTTAAGGCGATTCACCGCAATATGCGATATCAGTAGGTAACGACAGTTCTATGTATTTATGGCTACGAGAATTTAAGGCTGGCCTGGCTGCTAGTGCTCCTTTTTGACAAAGGTGCTGTTGTTCCGCTGGCGGACCATCAGGTAGTTCTTGAACAGGGTCTCCTTGTGGTCCACCCGCTGTGACTGGGTCAACAGGCTTTCGTTCTCGGCCACCAGCTCCTCCTCCAACTGCTTCTCGAGCTCATCGCGACTCTTCGTCTTCCGGCGCGATACGCGGCTGGCCTCGTTGTTCTTGATGCGGTCTATGTATGCCTTGCGCTTCTCGTCGTCCATGCGGGACATCACCTCCGGGTCTGGTCCGTCCGCGTGCTCTTTGGCGGGACGGCCGCGCTTTCGCTTGGGGGCGTTGCCGTTCGTCGAGGTGGTGGCACTGAACTGGGAGGTACTGGCGACTGAGTAGGCGGGGGAGGCTGGAGCAGTGAGGAAGCCGCCGAACCCTGACTGGCAGGTTGGGGCTACGCTGGAGGAGCACGCCGAGTAGTAGCTGTGCGGTGTGTTCGGAGCTGAGAAATCGGTGGTGGTTTCCTCCTCGGCGCTCCGCAGATCCTCGATGATTCCGGCATGTGATGTGATGATGGTGGTGTTGGCGGCCTCGGGCTGTTTGTGGGAGAGAGCGGGCCGGTTAGGAATCATTCTAAGAATGGGTACGTGGATTTTGCAAACACTTACCCTCTCAAAATTCAAGACCTGCTCAATGATGGCGGGTGTGCTTATTTCTTCTGATTGGCTGAATGCAGGCGGCGACTGGCTGTTGATCTTGAGCATCAGCTTGCTCCGCTTCTGCGCCTGTGTCTCGCCCGCAGGGGCGAGCACTGCCGCCGAGGCCGTGCGCTTTAGTCCAACCAGAGGGTTGGACAGGGTGTGTCGGATGGCCACGGAGACGCTGCTGCCGCCAACTTCCGGATCGGTAGCTGGCTTGACATCGTCCACCTGGCCGAAGCCCAACGATTCCTGACTACAGACGTACATGCTGCCGCCGTAGCTGTTCTCGTCGGCCAGCAGCGGTTCTTCGCTGAAGCATTTGGTGTTGGTGGAGGTCTGTGAGAATGTTGAGAGCATGGGGTCCTGGGATCCGGTTAGTATGTCGTTAAGGTCTATGAAATTATTGGGTTGATTGAAGTTGATGCCGCACATGGGGGCCATGTCGAGTGTCTCCTCCTCTCCAGTCAGTTGCTGGAAATCGTAGTCATCCATTTGAAGTTTATAGTCGTCGAGGTTGTCGTTGTTGATGTCATCCATAACCAGATTGCACCGATCCATTTTCTTGGGCTCAAGCTCAATGTGATCCTCGGCAATCAAGTTTATATCAAAGTCAAAGTCAAGAATATCCGTTTCAGTAAAAATCTCCTTTCCGCTTTCGCTGCTACACGAGGACGTTGCTTCTATGTCTTGCAGGTATTCTACGATAAAAAACAAAATATTATTAGAATCATTTGTCAAAAACTTCAGTTCAATGAAATGTCATTATGTGTGCTAGTGTGTGTAAGCTTCTTTTAAGAACCTATTATGGAATTTAACGGATCAGATCATCTGAAGAAGATCCAAAAATATTTTTTACTCTAGTTCGAAATTCATATCCCAATAAAATTTTAAATTAATAAATAATAAAAAGTGAAAATACATGACATCTACATGGCTGGTACTGACATGGCTCAGTGGCGCTGAGTGTGATTGAACATACTACTACGCAATATTGTTAAAATGTGGCATTTCTTGTTTAAAATTGGTTAAACTCCTCTGTGTTCTCTACATACATTCTACACGCTCACTTAATTACATCCAAATACATAAAAGTGGCGCCAGCAGACTTAACGATGTAGTTTCTTTTTGGAACTATTAGAAGTAAAGAGTAGCGAAACTTGTCGCACAATATTTGTCTCTCTTGCACTTTGTTGTGAAATTAAAATCAACGAATAAATGAAGTTTGGAAAACAGGAACAAATCGGGATAAACATTTATAAAATTGTTCGAATTCAATTGAAAAGGAAAATATAAGGAATAATCTTTTAAAAATTTCAAGATTTAAATTGTTCGGCTTGAAATGTTTAAATTAAAAACTTATAGTCCAATTTGCAAATGTTTTTAGTTTTCTTTCCTCCATATCAGAAAAAAAAAAAATATTTCTTTGTCCCCCCCGCAAATAACAAAAAATGCAATTCACAATTACAAAGAAGGGAAATGTAGAGAGAGAGAGAGAGAATACCGCCTGAGCCATTTTTCAGACGGAGAGCGAGAGCGCACTCACACATTGAAAAGGTACTCATGACGCAGAGTACCACTAGGCGGCACAACAACCACACAGAAATTGAACACGATCGATCATGTCTCGATCCGTGCGATCGGACTGACTGCGGGCAAATGCCCTACACTGATGTGGAGATTTTTACTGGGAATTACATTTTCTTAATTCGTAAACGCAGAAAAACCAAGTTATTGTTACGAGTACTATTATTACAGAAACAAAATATGTGCAAAAAACATCTAGAAATTGTAGAGCAAAAAATGAAACAGAATAAACGGTTAATAACTTCTGAGACTGACTTCTGTGACTTCGTTCTGCCCAAGATCATAAAATAAAAGGGAAAAGAAATATCTCAAGGGAAATATTTCGAATGGGTCGCAATATTAAATTCCAATAGATATTCACCTAAGTATATTTCGAATTGCCGGTGGATCTCGCGCTGAGTGCTGTTTTATCCGCTTACGAACTTAACGGTTGCAACGACTTTTTACGAATGGAGCCTGGTCTCCACTAGTGGCAATATCAATGCGAGCCTCAAAACAAACCCGTGCAAAGGTACATACATATGTATCTGTGTGTCGCCGGTCAGAGAGAGAGCGCTAACCAATACAAGCCATCGGTCCTACACCAACAGCTGACGTCGCGCAACAAGTACGATTTCTATTGTCGTCCCACTCTGACCGAACACATGCTTGTATTACGGTTGCGGAAAAAGAGAGAGAGAGTGAGACGTTCACCGGCGACCGTCTCTCTGCCGAAGTGTGTGGTTCGTGTTTGCTCGGATTTATTCTTCTGCCAATTACATACATAGATACTTGACAGTCATAGGCTGTCCAAAAAGAAGTTAGCCGTTTTGGAATGCACTAATACATTTGCCGCTTGAATTTCACCAGAGCCACCCAGGGTTACTACTTGTTCTGTACCAGATAAGGGCAATACTTAAAAGGGAGTGTCTTAAAACAATGGGACAAACGATCGGTTAATTGACCTAACACTATTCAATTTTTCACATTTTCAAAGATCAAATTGTGTAAGAAATCTCACTAAATCAAAGAAATGTAGTTGATTAACATCATTTAATTAGCATTAACCGGCAACGGCTCGTATACGCAATGCATTTTGGCAGACAAATATTCAATTTGTGTATGTGTGTGATACACTAACCTGTTGCCGGTCATCTCATGTATGTGTATACATATGTAAGTATAGCTATCTCTGTCGCTCAGAGAGAGGGATGCATGTATTGACAATAAGAGGGTGAATGAGACTGGAGCACACGAACACTACTCCCACTACTGGATCTCGCTCTCCACGCATGTGTTTATGCGCTCTCTCGCAAGACTATCTGGTGGTGGTCGCGTTCTCCTTCTCTCTCAGTGTTTCTGCAGATCATTCTTTTTGAATTTCACAACAAACAAGTGACCCTGAAAAGGGTCGCGGGGTAATTTAAAACGAGCCCCGAAAATCGGATTGTTTCAATCAAAATGTATGTATGCTTAACATTCATATAAGGAACTCAAATGTTTATGTACTTGCATGAGTACTAACCTGATAAGTATTTATACTATATATTGGCATTTGCCGGCTAGAAAAACGTGCTCGCAAAAATTTGGGTCATTTGGACATTTGGCTGTCTACAATGCACTTGATTTTCATCGCTTGTGACATCACAAAAGTCGGTGGCAAAAATAGATAATCTGCCGAAAATACCTTAACCTCTAATCTATAAAACCGCCCGATAAGATAGAAGAGCGGAGCAAGACCATGTATGGTCAAACTTACGTATCTCTTATATAAGGAAGCTATCACCGGAACAAGGAAAGAGTGAAAAGGTGTTACCGACATCAATAAAAATGTCGATTGCAATATATGCATACATATGTAAAAGACCGGGGGACACCCAATGGAAATAAAACAGCTCATCGAGGTGGTGACTTCGGACACATATACCGGACAACAAGCTGTACTATATGATTCAATAGGCTACGTGTGCTACGTAATGTAACGCCTGCATTGCTTTTTACATATATATATACATAT